ATTATTAAATTTTTATAATGTTTTTTACGATTTTTAAATATTTTTACGATTTTTTATGATTTTATTATGAATAAAAGCATTTCATTAGGAATTAATACCCTTAGGGGTATTTACGGTAGAAAATCAATGTCTAGTTCTATTTAGGGAATTTAAAAAGTAGTAGTCCTATTTGTGTTTTTTAGAAACTCATTAGCCCTATTTAGGACAATTTCCGTTCATGTTTTATGTAGTCAAAGTGTCAAATTCTTATGCTAAAAGAATTTAAATTTACTTGAAGGTAGATTCTATGGTACCCTTAAGGTACCATATCTTTGTCCACATGGACCAATAGGAATGTTGCAGTTGAATTAATTAAATCTAAATTAAAAGGAATAGAATGATTTGGATCAATAAAATGTATGGTAAGTACGGTACCCCAATTTTTAAAAGGGTACCGGAGTTGTCACCTTACTTGAATCCGGTTCTTAAGCCTACTTTCCAAAAAGAAAACATCACTACACCGGACTGGTCTGATTTCGAAAAACCATAATTGATATGGATCACTTTTACGAGTCAAGTTCTAACTAGCTGGTCTGATTTACAGAATTGGCACCAGGTCGAGTCCTGTTGAACTGTTTTAGATCATGCAATTTATAATCTCATTTCATTATGAGCAGTGGCGGAACTAGAAAGTTTTTTAAGCGGGGCACATTTTAATGTAAACCATCACATTAATAATGTCATTATCTTAACAAACCACACCAATAAAATACAACAAATTTAGTCAAAAGTGTTGACGTAATAGTTCTATATCCAACCTACAGATACTCATGTTAATGCATCCAAAGTCCAAACATGTCTCTTTCTACATAAGAGACTAAACAATCATTATCTAGCATATAGGTGTAGCTCAAACAGAAACATTTCAAGAACTAGCACCCAAGTTTATCAGTGCCTTCGGCAGAAATATTTCTCAATTGACATTCCCTAGTGATAATTATCGAAAACAAAAAAAATTGATTCAAACTATCGTAAATTCATAATTTCATACCAATAATACATTAATACATAATCATTAGATTTAATTCAAACTATATACATAATTATGAATTGTAAAAATTCAATAATGAAATACCTAATATTTAATTTAATTAAAAAGGAAAAAAATCTCATATTAAAAAGGCAAAACCGGCAAACGGAAAGCCTATCGGACAAGTCGACGGACTACGAAGGGCGGACGGCGGGACAAGACCGGGCGGCGGGCGGCAAGCTGGCTCCAAGAGGCCTGGCGGCTTGACTCTGCCGCTTCGCTGCATGCCTGCTTGCGCCCAGGGAAGGATCCCCCTAACTGCGTTTGGGCAGCTTAACTGGTTGAGGGCTTTGGTCTTTCCTTAATTTGGGCTGTTGAGTGTTGGGCCTGCCTTGGCCCGACCGGCTTTTAGCTTTTATTTTCCATAGCTTCAAACGACGTCGTTGGACTTAAAAAGAAAACTTGCGCACTTCACTTAATCAATCGTCCCTGTGCAGCGCTATCCTCCAGAAGCAAACCCGGCCAGTGGCGGACCCAGAAAGTCGGAATCACGGGGTCCCTACACTTACGTATCTCTAATTAATAAAAAACTATTAAAAAATACGGAGTATTAAAGAAGTTAGCATAGTACTTCATAGTTAACGTACACCATCAAAACATTAAAATATTACTCCCTCCGGTTCTTAATTAACTTTACACTTTTCTTTTTAGACCGTCTCATATTAAACTTCACACTTCTTTTTCTACACCAAAACAGTGCAAAACAGTGCACTTTACAGTAAAATTTCTTAATATGTGTGAAGTCAAAGTATCAAGTTAATTAAGAACCAGAGGGAGTATAAAACAAAAAATTACAGGATCAGCTTCCAAAGATACAAAATCAACATGTTGTTCAGGTAGATTATCAGCTAAATTAGCTGCACTTTCAGCAATTATCTGATCCAATTCTTCATTTACTAATAGCAAATCATTTGAATGAACATCTGAATTACTATCGAACTCTCAATTTCCTTAACTCTCAGTACAACCCCAAAATATCTTTTCATCCTAATTCATATAATATTGAAAATAACGTTTATAAATACAAATATACGTAGTATTAATTTAATCTTAACATTTTTTGTTGTTGATAAATTTAATCTTAACATTTTAAGAAAGCTTTTTAATTAGGGAAATTTTCTAAGATATGACTAAAACTCATTGAGTTTATCTAAATATGACTAAGTTAGTTTTTAGACATATGTATGACCAAAAATCAAAAAAGAAAAAGAAAAATTCGTTCATATTAAAATGTTTAATGACCAAAATACCCTTGTTTAAAATATGTGCATTTTGAACCGATTCCGTCCAATTAAAATTACTACACTTTATATTGCCGTTAATGCACGATATTACTGCACAACATTACTGCACATCCGGTAATAATCAATGCACTTCCGCCAAAATTATTTCTCTTCTCATTCATTTTATGAAATTATTTTTATTTTTTCGATTTAATAATTTTATTTTTTTACATCTAATTAAGTATATTTCATTTCACTGCCCAAACTTATTCAATGCATTCATTCAGTGTCATGTACAATATTATTAATTTCATTGTCTACTCATCAGTACTTAAGTGACATGTTCAATGTCAATGTTCAATGTTCATTTTCAATGCCCACGAACCATAATTTCATTTTTTGTTAAACAGAATCGCAACAGAACAAAAAATTACTGGCTTCACAATTATCTGATACACTACCGATCCCAAATTTCAATTTGTGCCGCCCATAACCCATCTCCATGACCATTCCACATTATCGAATAGAATTGATTTCTCTTCTGCCGAAATAGAATTCCATTAAAATAAAGTAACTTGGGATGCAACGAAATGCAGATGAATCCAAAAAAATATGTCGACACAAAAGCCATTAAGCCAGTCCTCTTTTTCAAATGAAATGATTGGATGAATTAAAAACAAAATAGAACTACGTTTCAGTCGAAATTCTATCAAAACACAAGGTGTGGTGCCAGAAAGAATGGCGAACAAGCTTCTATCGATGCTGCAACTTCCTCCGGTGATAGCAACGGTTACTTCATCGGTTAGCAATGGAGTGCAGTCCCTTAAACTTTCTATCGGCTATACTACACGGCGACGGATGGTGTGTCGGCGTGCCATGAGGCGACAGACAGTGGGCCATGGGGCGGTGGGGGCAGGGTCGTGCGGCTGCGTGCGGATAGATCTATGGAGGTCGGAGAATGGAGGCTAGGGTTGGAGAAAAGAGCAGGAGCTTAGGATTTTATAGATATAACCTGAAGGGTATATTTGTCCACCTAAATTATTTATTTATCTATTTATTACGAATTTTATTTTAATATTATGATTTTTAATATTATTTTGGTAAAAAAACTAGTTAGGTCATAGATTGGTAAAGTGAAGAAGTTTTAGTCATACTTATGAGAATTATCTCATCCCAAACAAAAGATATGCAATTCAAAAAGAAACAATAAAAACATGGGACGTAGGCAGCAAGGAGAAGCTAGGAATCGAACTTGAAACCTCACGTGAGTTAGAATGCCAAAAACCCACCTTTCCTACCATTCCGCTACTACAGTCTTTTGTTTACCTACTCGTTGTTATAGTATATATATACATTCCCTAATTAATTTTATATAGAATATATATAATATATAGGTAATTTTTTCGAAGTGCACGGGGTCCTGGGACCCCGTGGGACCCTTAGTGGGTCCGCCTCTGAACCCGGCCGTCCAAGCTTGCCGGAAAGAATGGAACGGACCAGTCCGGCAGCCCCATCAACCCCTACATATACCCTATCTCGTACGTTCTAAGCAGGGGCACCGGCCCCCCTGGCCCCCCTGGCAGATCCGCCCCTGATTATGAGATCGTGTACGTTACGTTATTCAAAAAATTATTTATAAAGTATGAAACCGCATCCGCGATGGCTCCTAACCTTGCCTGTGCAATTAACGGGGATGATGGAGATTTACATAGTAATATAACGGTTATAACTTGACCTATTCCTTGTGGTCTCTACTGGTTGAGCTATGTGACTATGTCTGCCAGTATAAAAATATTTAAATGGTTTATTAGTTGTACACCTCAAACGTTTCTCTTTTAACAAATTAAAGCAATTATATTAAAATAAATTTTTAAATTACATTCTACAAATAGACATCATTCAACTTTCAAATTATAGGGAGGAAATTCCTTAGACTATTTGTAGTGGAAGGTTTTAGGAGTCCAAAAGATTAAATGTGGAGCTTTTGGTCCAACACGTAAGCCCAAGGATCTCGAGTGGAGTGTGTGAGTAAACTTGCCCAACAAGCAGATGGTATGGATTAAAGATAACAAGAGGTAGCAAGTAAGTGATTAGGTATTATTAACTCTTAATAACTCCCTAATACAGTACTCTTTGCTAAGGCTCCGTCGGCCATTCGTCTTACTAGGCAGTTAGAAGTGCTGCGAGTAAGAATGCTAAAGCTAGAATGCTAAGAATAGAAAGTTGCCAACCCTTTACAATGAAATAAATGCTTCTATTTATACCCGCCAATGGGCAGGTGGCTATGCTGACGTGGAGGCTTGTGGACCGCTGGTGTCCCAACCACCAAATCTTCAGCATTAAATGCACTTCCCGCCATAATCTAGGTTTCCCGCCTAAATAGTGGGTGAAACTTTTTTGTTTGGCTCCAATTTTTGTGAAAAATATATCAAAATTTATAAATTTTTACGATCTTTCATATGACATCAATATTGTATATATAAAAATTATTTTAAAATTTTTTACTGAATATTAAAATTAAGAATAGTAATTAAAAAATTATATAAACTCATTTTACTATTTTATTAAAAGTAAGAATAGTAATTAAAAAATTAACGATTTTTTTTAATTTTTAACATCGAAACGTGTATTTTTTAATTTCATAACACTTCATAAATAAAAACAAAGAAAAATATTACTTATAATAATTTAATTAATGTTTTACTAAATTGATATATAAAAAATTTGCAGAGTGTATTTTATCGACGATGCACAGATGTAGAAAAAAACATTATTGACGGAGTCAAAACACTGTTTCATATGAACGGAGTCCAAATTTAATAATTTGGACTCTTGACCACCACAAATGATCTTACAAAGCAAAAATAACATACTTGTATATTCTGAAATCAAGAGTCTAATTGATTTCTTCTTAAAGAATTCTCAATTAAGAGTGTCATTATTTTCTTGTTAAACCACCACGCATTGAGTTCTATATTGGAAAGTTTTGATAATTTATTTTGATATGACTACCAAATCTTACTAGTATTTTAAAAATAAAACATACCTCTAACATATTAAGTAGCATTTTTTAATTTATGTGTATTTTACTCTTATTCTCGATAATTTCTCAACTGTAAATAGAAAATAGGATTATAACACCGAGTCACATATCTTAATTATTTAGAACATAAATATCGTAGAGAAGTACAACTCCACTACATTATTACATTTTTATGTGCATTTGCAACTTATGCACGGATAGCGTTTTAGTTCTCAAGCTCAATTGGCTTACGGCTCAGCCACATCTACGGCCTCCCCCTTATAAGAGCAGCACCTTATGCACTGCCCGTTACTATGGGCGCCACCGCAGCACCCGTAATTTCCGCAACTTCCACCATGACCAGGCGGGTGACCATGTCCATGACCACCATGTCCAGAACCGCCATGTCCGCCACCGTGTCCATGCCCGCCGCCGCCGTGTCCATGCCCGCCGTGACCATAGCCATTAGCTAATCAAATTTGAGAAATACAAAGTTGCACATGTAAAATGATGTTAGGTTTATAGAAAATAGGGAAAAGGTGCAAATAGGCTCATGTACTAACCAAAAAAGATCAAATAAGTCCTTATTTAGGAGACTCTGTCCGGCCGTCATTTGGGGTGGTTCCCGGTTGAATTTTTTGATGAAATTTTTTGAACATCTTATTCATCAAGTCTAGTTTACTCATACCAAATTTCAGCTAAAACTTCAATCGGGAAGGCATTTAAATGAATTCTTGAAGATAATTGTGCTTCTAACTGCGCAGTTATGTTCCAAAATTTTAGCTGAAATTTGGTATGAGTAAACTAGACTTAATGAATAAGATGCTCAAAAATTTTCATCAAAAAATTACACCGGGAACCACTTCAAATGGCGACGGCCGGACAGAGTCTCCTAAATAAGGACTTATTTGACCTTTTTTGGTTAGTACATGGGCCTATTTGCACCTTTTCCCTAGAAAATATTCAAAATATAAGTAAAATACAACACATTTGTTCTGAGGTATTACTCTCAGTCCCACAAAAATTGTTTCATTTTTTTCTTTTTGAGAAATCTCAAGCTAGGCTACGCGAGTCCTATTTTGAAACAAACCTAACTAATTAACTTGAGAAAAGCTATGAGCAGACACATACTCATACCTAGCCACCTAGGGCGAGACACTGAGAGTAGATTTGAAACCTCAACTTAGATACACTCATCTCGTCATAATTTCGAGAAAAATTCTTGTTGTATATAGAATTAGCTTAATACACAACAATTTGTACACAATTCTCTAGTTATCTTTGTACACAAATAATTCGTTTGAAAAAGGACAGGATTTTATACAAAAATGTTTGTGTACAAAGGCAGTCTACACCAAGATTTACTCTAATTTCAAAGAACTTTTTTCAAATTTCCCTTCAACGGTCCCAAAAAATTGTGGTTAACGGCATTTCCGACACATTTCTTCTCATCATCTCCATCTACATAACTATTCACCGTACAATTCTCGCTTTATGAAAGGAGTAAGAAGAAATTTGATTGAATATGCAATAATGAAACATAAAATATCAAAATGGGAGTGTGCATGATATGCATGGATCGGAGTTGAACAAAAGAAGTTGTTTGATAAATACACTTACTGCCCAAGTAAGCACCGTTGTCATGGCTAGTCTCGGCCAGTTCTCTGGCCGAGACTTCGAGGCCGATCACGAGGAAAACGGCCAAAGCGACGGCGAGGAAAAGAAACACCGCCTTTGAACTCATCTTTAATTTCAAAGCACAGAGTATAGTAGTAGTAGGTGATGGTAGGTTGAAAGATGAAGATGACTGATGAATTTAGGTGCCCATTTATAGCTAGGAGTTCACATGAGTGAGTGGAGAGTGAGCTCAATAATGGCGTTTGGAGTTTGTTGACCCATCCATCCGAGAACGTACGTACTGTTTTTGCTTGTTGGTGGTTGAGTTTCTACATGTTTTTGTCCCGACAATGAATGGTGCATTTATCTTCTGACACGATCGAAAATCCCATTAATGATCTGTAATAAATTAAAAATCTTGCTTAAAAACAGGCAGATATGACACGCATATTTATCCATTCGGTCACTCACGGAAGAAGTATGAACCGACCATGTGATATGCATTTGGGCGTTTGGCCCATTCGATATCATAGTCTTGGCCCGCTTACGTGCGTCTGGCTACGTAACATTTTCGAGTCTAATTTGGTCTGGTTTGATCTGAATTAGTCTAGTCTAATATGTTGAAATCTGATCTGACTAGAGATTGAAATAAGTTCAAATAAAAATATTCTCAATACCCACTACTCCATCAGATCTGCTCGTCAATATCAACTCTTAGTTTTATAAATTTAATTTCATTAGTGATGGACATCATTTTTACCTGCTAAAAAATAGATATCATTTTTATGATATGATGAATTAATCTATCTTAAGATGTGAACATTGTTAAAGTGATGAAAATCTAAGATTATGATATATACATTCGATCGTGATGGTATATACTTGTATATGATTGTAAGCTTGTTTTTGGAGGGGGTTTGGCGCATGATTAATTATAACAGGAGGTTGACGTATTTTTTAAATGATATGGGGCTAACGCGCAGAGGCGGATCTATTGAGGAAGGATGGGGGCAGCTGCCCCCAACACAATCCCACTAAATCCATATAATGTGTTAGAATATATTGGAAATCCATGTATTGCCCCCAATAAAAAATAATCATCGTTGCCCCCAATAAAGCAGACTCTAAGCCAGGGCCGGCCCTGGGCAAGGGCAGGCCGGGCTTGTGCCCCGGGCCCAACATTTACAAGGGCCCATAATTATATAAGGAGTATATATGGATACATATAGAGAGGACATTTCATACCAGCCTGAGGTCATTTGGTCCCCTTTATGGAGGAATTTTTTATGAAACTTTTTTAGAGTATTTAATTTTTCATCAAATGTAGATTACATTCACAAAATTTCAGTTTAAAATTCAATCGGGAAGTCAGTTAAATAAATATTGAAACATACTGCACACTATCTTTCAATAATTTATTTAACTGACTTTCAGATTGAATTTTAATCTGAAATCTTGTGGAGATATTATATAGATTTCATGAAGAATATGTTTAAATTTTTTCATGAAAAAGTTCTATCGGGAAGGGCCTCAAATGGCCTCGGTCGGACATCAGTTCCCGTTAGGCCGGCCTAATTTCAAGGTTTCATCTTTGGACTTTAATTCATTTCGCTCAGCAATCAACACTCTCCTAATTTTCTCAAAAATATCTTCCAAATATGAAATTCCAATTTAACAAGTAATTCTCTAGTTTTATTTTTTATTTTTTTAAATACTTTTTATTTTTTTAGTTTATACTACGTATATATTAAGACTTTGATAAAAGACTTACATTACTTTGTATGTTGAAATTTGCTTATATAAAGTTAAGATTTTGCAATATATTTATATGATCTTTTAAGGGCCTTATTTTTTCATTCGCCCTGGGCCCATAAAATGTCAGGACCGGCCCTGCTCTAAGCTAGCCGAAAGTTTGGTTGGTTTATGGGAAGCTCATCTAAAATGATAAAATCTGTAATTAAGATGTCAAAACCGTGCTGAGGTAGCAAGAGCAACGAATGTGATGCTAATTTATTATTAGTGGGATTATAAATGTATAGTGAGATTCAATATATTAAGATTATTAATTTGTTTATTGTAACCGTTTATTGTTATGTTTTTGAAAATCTAAAGTTCCAATCACTGCCATAGTTGTTTATTGTTTATTTTTAAGTGTTAGTGGAAGAGTCTTGCTAAGAAAATTAATATTATTAGAAAAATGTCATTTAGATAGTCAACTATAAAAAACCTAAATAATATGTTCTTTTAAATACTCCGTAGTTAAATTAGAGCTCGTTTATTGACCATATTTTCCGGCTTATCAAGCTTATCAGTCAAACTTTTTCTCCAAATACGTAACTTTTGATTTCGCGCGCTGAATTATTTAATAATAAGAAAAAGTAAGGTTGGAGTTACTTTTCTGGCTGTATTGACTGCATTTACTGTAGATGACCACTTTAGCTATTTTTCATGCATTTTTTTCTCTATGTGATTGATAAAATATAATTTCATTTTCCCCTACATAAATCGGCAAAATCAGTCAATCTAATCACTTTAGCTTTAACTTCATGAATTTCAATAGAATCAACTGATTCGGCCGATTTTAATGTTACCAAACGAGCTCTAAATGTATTAATGTATAACTAACTTCATGCAGAGTATATAATAATAATAGTGATAATAATGTAATATTAATTTCACTTTCGAGACTTAATGAAGAGATATTTAATTATCTATCTTTCATTAAAACCGGGTAGCTCAAATAGTAATGTCTCTATAAGCGCTTGTCATGGGATCCGTAGAGATTTGCTTCTCCACTATGAAAAAGATGAAAACTAATTTGTGTAGTAGAATTGATGATAAATTTGTTTTTTTTTGTGATGGTCTGTTTTTATTGAAAAATGCGATAGTATATATGGATTATATGTTTAAAACTGTTATCCAAGAAAACAAAATCCTGCAAGAACAATTGTGATGTATTTTGTTAATACTACTAATTTTTGTTCCTCTAAACTTTCTTAACTACTTTGCCCCCAATAACTATTTTTCCTAGATCCGCCACTGCTAACGCGCCAAATTTATATTTCACGAGGAGGTTTGATGCATTAAACCCTAAGTTTTAGGGTACTAGTAAATTTATAAAAGGACTAGTAAATTTAACGTACTTTTAGGTGCTATTTCTTTGGCCAAAACAGGGCCGGTCCTGACATTTTATGGGCCCAGGGCGAATGAAAAAATAAGGCCCTTAAAAGATCATATAAATATATTGCAAAATCTTAACTTTATATAAGCAAATTTCAACATACAAAGTAATGTAAGTCTTTTATCAAAGTCTTAATATATACGTAGTATAAACTAAAAAAATAAAAAGTATTTAAAAAAATAAAAAATAAAACTAGAGAATTACTTGTTAAATTGGAATTTCATATTTGGAAGATATTTTTGAGAAAATTAGGAGAGTGTTGATTGCTGAGCGAAATGAATTAAAGTCCAAAGATGAAACCTTGAAATTAGGCCGGCCTAACGGGAACTGATGTCCGACCGAGGCCATTTGAGGCCCTTCCCGATAGAACTTTTTCATGAAAAAATTTAAACATATTCTTCATGAAATCTATATAATATCTCCACAAGATTTCAGATTAAAATTCAATCTGAAAGTCAGTTAAATAAATTATTGAAAGATAGTGTGCAGTATGTTTCAATATTTATTTAACTGACTTCCCGGTTGAATTTTAAACTGAAATTTTGTGAATGTAATCTACATTTGATGAAAAATTAAATACTCTAAAAAAGTTTCATAAAAAATTCCTCCATAAAGGGGACCAAATGACCTCAGGCTGGTATGAAATGTCCTCTCTATATGTATCCATATATACTCCTTATATAATTATGGGCCCTTGTAAATGTTGGGCCCGGGGCACAAGCCCGGCCTGCCCTTGCCCAGGGCCGGCCCTGCCGCCAAAAAATTCAAGAATAATTCAAGAAACAAAAATGAACCTCGTATTTACATTTTACAATACACATCGAACAATTTGATTCCTCATTCTCAAATCTTTTCATAGGCCACAATTCAGATTGTGATCGCAAATTATACAGTGCAACCGGCGTACCATGCGCATGGTATGCCGGTTGCTAATACGGTACCGTTTTTTGCTTTTCTCATGCTTCTGAAAGTTCAAAGCCCAAATTACGGAAGTCTTCTTTCTCCCAGATAAGTACTTCCTTTCTCTTTGTTGTTCTTTTCTATTTTCTTTAATTCTTTTCTCTTTAACATTAAATACTAAAAATTTATTTGTGATTTTACTCATCTTTATCTTTAACTAATTAAAATATAAATGAATTTACATTTTTTCTTTACCAAATTATTACAAAATTTTATTAATCCACATAAAATAAGTGTATTGTAATACATTTTATATTTTATTAATCCACATAAAAAGCATATTTTATTAATTCACATAATAATTGAATCTATTCTTTTTATTCTCTATCAATGCATAACAAAAAGTTTATAAATCTAAATAAAATAAGTATATTCTATGATTCAGCTCCTGGACAATGAAATCACATCTTCTTTTGCGCAAGTTACATATTAATGTACGCGAGTTACATCTAAATATACGTGAGTTACATCTTAATGTATGCGAGTTACACCACTTAATAAACTCTAGCTATATCATTTTTATTGGCCTAATATTAAAAATAAAACATATTCATTATTTATAAAAAGTAATTAAGCTATTAGGATCAATTTTTCATTGTTTACATTGAAATCAATGTTTATAATATCTCAAACACAAAAAAATCATTGTTCAACCTTTCAACAAGTTACATTCTGTATACACACAAGTTACATTTGGAATCAACGTGAGTTACATTTGTAATAACACGAGTTACTTCAAAAAATCAACCCCTGCTATTGAAACAAAAAAATGATATGTTCTAAAAAAAATATTTTTTATAGTCATGATATTAAAAACAAAACATATATATTCACGTTTTACCTAAAACAATTGTGTAATTAGACTCTCTTTTTTCATTATTTACATTGAAATCGATATTTGACAAGTTACATTTTGGATGGGCTTGAGTTACATTGATCAAATAACGCGAGTTACATATCTTTACACGCGAGTTACACTATCTAAGTTATTGAGACAAAAAAAAAAGTCATTGTTCACGCGTGTACTGTTCACGCGATTTTTTTTTATTAATTGTCCAAAACTACATCGTTTTGGGAGTGGGAGTAGGGTGCTCATGGTGGGACGGTTGTATGGTATACGA